GGTCATGTTTATATTTAATTGAGGGTTGTGTATTGTGGTAGCCTCAGGCACTCATCACCTGACTCCTGGTGGATGTGTTAGAGACCAGAAGTGTGAATGTGGTTACTTCTCTGTTTGCTGTTTGTGTGGGCAGGTTTGTTCAAGGCAGGTTCATGTACCTTCAGAAACAGGGTTGCTATGCCAGGCATCCAACCCCAAGCAGAGCAGAGACTGTGCAGTGTGCAGGAAAGGTGCCACTGGCTGTTGTGTTGGCAATGGCGGGGACTGGACACATCCCTGTCTGCCAGGAGGGCACAGGTAAAGGGAGAATTGTATTCCCTTGCCATCAATCTCTAAGCTGCATCTTGTGCCTGGAGGCCACTGTATGGACTCACAAAAGTTTAGGATGGCCTCACCACTCCATGCCAGCACACAGTCCATCCATTTTCCTTCTCTGTCACTACTGCTGATCAGCGAAATCTTTCATTCACCACTTAGTCCACCTCTCTGTCCTCTCCTCTGATGTTCAGGGCTCCAGGATCACCATCTGTCTGTTTCCTTCAGTCTCCCTTGTCTGTGCTGCAGAGATCATGTCAGTGCATCTGCTTACTCCAGCGTCTTACCCGGACCACCACGTTTTCATTATCTTTTAATTCCATTTTTTTCATGAAGTTTTTGAAGCCGCTTCGTAAATAGTATCAGAATAACCATACCATTTCTACTAAAAGTTTTTGTTTGTTGTTTTGTAAAAGGTGCCAGTTTGTTGTTTTTTTCATAAAGTATGTATGTCCCTATATTCTCTTAGGAACATATGGTAAATTATTGTGTTTTAATGTCACTTGGAATCTTTCTCTGTGTATTTGCCTTCATGTAGATTCACAGATATATTTGTTACATTTTGCTTTTGATCTAGGGATTGCATTTTTAAAATTTTAATTTTACTTTATAAATATGTATAATATTTATATGTTTTCTAAGTTAAATCTATAAAATGAGGATTATTCAGAAAGGTCTCTAGTTTCTATCCTTGTGTTTTCTACCATTCCCTTGGTCCCCTATAACTATTTATTTTGGTACATGACATTTTTCTTCCTTTAACAACAACAACAACAAAAAACAGTACACATGTAGGTTTGGTTTTCCCCTCTAGCTAAATGGAAGTATACATACTATTATCTTTGTCTGTGTTAATAGATTTTTAAAATATATTATTTCTGCATGACATGCATGGCATTTATGAATGATAATATTTGTTAGACACTCTTGTAGTTAATGTTGGCAATGGGGATATGAGAGTTAGACAACTAATAACAAAATATATTAAGTACCTCTCAATAGGAATTCCTGGTGTGGCGCTATAGAATCAACACTGAACTGTGAACCACAAGTTCAGTGGTTCAAACCCACCAGCTGCTCCTTGGAAACCATATACCAGGGTTGCTATGAGTTAGAACCATTCAGGAGCACTTAACAGCAGCAAAGTCTCAAGGCAGTGAGAATGGCATTCATTTAAAAAGAAACTAATACTACAGTTGGAGTTCCTAGATTCTGTTATCTCTGTTCTTAGGCAAGATTTTTTTCCCTTAGACATCAGACTTTCCTGTTCTTGATCCCAGTTGGACTGCGCAAGAAGAAATGGCTCTTTTAGAAGCTGTCATGGACTGTGGCTTTGGAAATTGGTGAGAGCTTGGTTTTGAGGGTTGTCCTACCTAGTGGCTCAGGAAAGAAGCCATTGTTGAAGGGCAAAGGGAGGAGCTTTGAAAAGAAGAATTTGGGAGCCATATGTTTGTTTCTTTTTGACATGTGATTTAAAGATAAGTCATTTTCCCCTTTACACATTCTTTTCTAGAGCTAAGATGTTCTTCAGGGATAGGGGATGCTCAGTGGTCTATGCCTTGAGTATCTCAAAATGTCTACTCTAGATGTATCAGCATTGGAAAGGTTGGGTGTTCTTGCTACATATAGGGGAAATGTAGGCTTATCAGGGGGCCCTGGTGGTGCACTGGTTAAGTACTTGACTAGTAACCTAAAGGTCAATCATTCAAACCTACCAGTTATTCCGTAAGAAAAAGGTGTGGTAATCTGTTTTCGTAAGATTATAACCTTGGATGCCTTATGAGGCAGTTCTCTGTCCTACAGGGCTGCTGTGAGTTGGAATTGACACAACAGCATTGAGTTTGGTTTTGGTTTCGTTGTTGTTGTTGTTGCTAAGTGCCGTCCAGTCAGTTCCAACTCATAGCAACCTTATATAGGGTTTCCAAAGAGCAGCTCTTGAGCTTGAAGAGCCGACTTTACAGATCTAACCAACTTTGCATTCCAGTGCATTAACCTACAGCACCACACCAGGACTCCTTGATTTGGTTAGACTTATCAAATGTGTTTTTACTCCTGTCTGATTTTATGAATTTTTATTGGCTATAGATGCCCCACTACTAGCATATTGGATTACGAGTTGGGCTGGTAGTCAGAAGGTCAATAGTTCGAATCTACCAGCCACTCCATGGGAGAAAGATGAGGCTTTCTGCTTCTGTAAAGATTTATAGCCTCAGAAACCCTATATTGTTGTTGTGAAATGCCATCGAGTCATTTCTGACCCATAGTGACCTGTATAGGGTTTCCGCGAAGCATCTGGTGAGCTTGAACTGCCGACCTTGCAGTTCAAATGGTTTTGCAGTCTGGCACATTACTTGGAAACCCTATACAGGATCTCTGTGAATCAGAACCGACTCAGTGGCACACCATCACCACCGTACATATACCCTAGTCATTTAAGAGAGTTATATTCGAGGTAGATGGTCATGGTTATTGCTGGTGCTTAAGTGCCAATTAGTTGATTCCAACTCATAGCAACCCTGTTTTGGGTTTCCAAGGAGCGGTTGGTGAGTTTGGTTATGTTGTTGTGTTCTTGTTGTGTTCTGTGGAGTTGGTTCCAACTCCTAGCGACCCTGTACAGAGTTTCTAAGTCTGTAAATCTTTGTGGGAGCAGAAAGCCTCGACTTTCCCCCATGGAACAGCTGGTAGTTTAGAACTGCTGACTGTGAGATGAGCAGCCCAATTTGTAATCACTATGCTACCAGAGCTCCTTTGAGTTTGGTTATAGCTTATCTGAAATTCAAGTTCCTGTTAACATTTTTTATGCATAAAGTCCACAGTTGGCAGAATTGACCAATTCTTAAAACTATTACCCTAACAACTAACAATACTTTAAAACACTGCAAATATTAAACGACTCTGTATTTTTAATGTTCTGAAGTGTTTAATATCTTTAGCAATTCTTTCCCTACAGACTGGATCACAGGGAAATTAATATTTCTAGTGATTTCTCTTTCTGTTGGTGGACAAGAGAACTTTTTAGATATCATTTTTATCGCTTGGAAGAGTAGAATTTGTAATGTCAGATTACACTAATACTAAGCTTCTATGTGCCTCTCTGCTTTACTGATATCTTCATACTGAACTGGAGGTATCAGACTGCAGATGTTATATGGAAAGAACAAATCATGCTTTTGCATAATGCAGAAATGAAAGCACTGTTTCCTTCTGTACTCTTTCTCTAGGCAGGATGTAGCTAATCAGATGTGTACTAAGACCAAGGAGGAGTGTGAGAAGCACTATATGAAGCATTTCATCAATAACCCTCTCTTTGCATCTACCTTGCTGAATCTGAAGCAAGCAGAGGAAGCAAAAACGGCTGACACAGCCATTCCATTTCACTGTAAGTGCCTTCCTGTTTTGGTATGAGATACTTAGTTGATCCTTAGGCCTTGTTACAGTAGCAGATACAGTTGGATGTTTTGGACAGATAAAGAGTTTAAGGAAGACCGGAGTAACTGGCATGAATGACAGTTATTGAGCGTCAAGTTCCAGATGTGGCAGGATGGGAACATATCCCAGGATCAGACTTCTCTACTAAATATCAGGTTGCATGATAGTCAGTAGTTCTCAGTCTTTCTCTGAGTTCCTTAAGCATATCAGTTATCTTTAATGCTTGCTTCTGCAAGAGAAGATGTCTAGAAAGGGCCAGTCTTCTCATGCCATTGAAAGTATCACCATATTTGCAATCTTTTTGGAGAGTTTATGATTATTGTTGTTGTTGTTAAGTGCTGTCAAGTCGATTCCAACCCATAGCGACTGTGTTTCGGGTTTCCAGCAAGAAGCTGGTGAGCTTGAACCATCTACCTTCCAGTTCAGACAACTTTGCAGTCTGATGTCAGCATTAGCCCACAGCGCCACACCAGGACTCCTTATGATTATAGCTATCACTTAAAATCCCAAATCAAGCCTACTACCTTTGAGTAAATTCTGACTCATAATGACTCTATAAGACAAGAATAGAACTGTTCTATAAGGTTTCTGAGACTGTAAATCTTTACAGGAGCAGACTGCCTGTCTTTCTCCTACAGAGTGACTGGTGGGTTTGAACCACAGACTTTGCAATTAGCAGCCCAGCACTTAACACATTTAAGCTCCTTATTAGTTACTTAAGAGGGCCCAGTATTTGATTAATTATTATTAACTACTCCATTGATAAATCCAAGAAGCAGTTTATTACTATTGTTCACTTGGTTGTAGCAGTAATGACAAACTTTTTTTTTTCCTACTAATCTCATGTGGCTGGAAGAGAGTCATGGGACTTTTCACAAAGGATAATAAAAAGCATGATGAATTATAAATGGACATCTTTCCTGAATGTCTCCCAGAGTATAAGTAATGAAATATGAATGTTTCTTCCTCCCTTTCCTCATAGTCTCTAGAAACAGCTTTCCAACTGACTTATTTAGTGCCTTATGGTGTTTACTATTTGCATAGCATTTAGGATGTTAGTTTGTACTTTGTACCCACATCCCTTAGATCCTCTGTTGTTCAGAGCACCCAGTGAAACAGGCCGAGAAGTGTTTCTTCATTTTATACATGAGGAAATTGGGATTCAGAAAGTTAAAGCATTTGTACAAGGTGATAAGACTAATTGATGCTATAGCTGGGACTCAATATTAGTGTTTTTTTGCTTCAGCTGGATAAGATTTGTAAATTGAAATTGGTCCTAGGGGACAAGAGAGTTGAAGAAAACAGGATAAATACTATGTTCTGTAATTTTAAAAGAAAAAGTCCTTGACTTCCTTTCATGTTGTTATTGTTGAGTGCTGTTGAGTCAATTCCAACTCAGAATGACCCCACTGACAAAGTAGAACTGCCCCGTAGAGTTTTTTTTGCTGTAATTTTTGTGAAAGCAGATCACTAGGTCGTTCTCCCACGGAGCTGCTGGATGAGCTTGAATTGCCAACCCTTTTGGTTGACAGCCTAGCGCTTAACCATTATTATACCATCAGAGCTCCTTCTTTTCATGTTCGGAAAGCAAAAATCAGAGATAAGGTCCCATATTTATTAAGATATTTTCCTCTTTTAAGAAATCAGTCTGTCCTGAGACTATGGCCTTTAGATACTTTTCAGGCCTGAAACAGAACTCACCCCTGTCTGACTCAACTTGAGGCAAACAATTGACAGGCCTCTAAGGAGTCTGGTGTGGCACTGTAGGGTAAGTACTGGACTGTCAACCACAAGGTTGATGGTTCAGACCTACCAGTTGTTCCTTAGAATCCCCATACAGGGTTGCTGTGAGTCAGAACTGACTTATCTGCACTTAACAACAACCCATAGAGATAGGAAAGAAAGATGAATGGAATTGGTAAACAACAGGCAGGAAGTGAGAAGAATGCTGTGACATTTTAGGGATTTCTGTCAATATCACACAACAAAATGTGTATGAATTGTTGAAAATCAATTTGCTATGAAAACTTTCACCCAATCACAGTAAAAACATAAACAAGAAAAAAAATCAGCCTGTATTTCTAAATACCTTAATATCTTTGTTACTTTTTTCTTTATAAAAACCTTTTGAATTTTATTAATTCTCTTAGACACTTTTTCCTTGCTCTTTACAAACAAAAATATTAATTTCATACTAATATTTTATTAAGTAGCTAAGAAAAATTCTAAATTCTTCTAGCTGCAGATGACCCTCCCCGGCCTACCTTTGACTCCCTTCTTTCCCAGGACATGGCAGGATACATGCCAGCTCGAGCAGACTTCATTGAGGTAGGTGGAGAAACTTGTTTTTAGTGTAAGCATGAGACATTTCTTTCTAATGAAGCTTAGGTCTTTTACTCATGTGCCATACCACTGAAAGGAGGTTTTCACCTTGGCAGTGGGGGTGGTTATATGCTGTGGGGTCGGTTTCAACTCAGTGACCCTGCATATGGTTTCTGAGGCCATAAATCTTTACAGAAGCAGAAAGCCTCCTCTTTCTCCTGTCGAGCAGCTGGTAGATTAGAACTACTGACCTTGGTGGTTAGCAGCCCAACTGGTAACCCACTATGCTACCAGAGCTCCTTGTTGTTGTTGTTGTTAAATGCCGTCGAGTCGATTCCGACCCATAGCGACCCTGTATAGGGTTTCAAAGGAGCAGCTAGTAAACTTAAACCGCCGACCTTGCAGTTCAAACGGCTTTGCAGTCTGGCGCATTAACCCACAGCACCACACCAGAGCTCTTTAGGCAGCCACATTTTCTTTTATTTGAAGGCCTTTGCTCGTTTGTAAACATTTTACATGTGGAACAAATAAAGTTCTTTAGACCAAGAATCTGTTTCTCAAATGACACCAGTGTTGGCTCCCGCTTCTTCAGTCTGGTTCTCATCTTCCACCTAGAGATTTCTGCTGGTTGCATTATGTTGGGCCAGAAAGTAAGTATTTTAGGTTTTACAGGCGATACAGTCTGTTGGAAGTAAACTTTGCCATTATGATTCAGAAGCAGTCATACAATATATAAACAAATTAAGTGTGCCTGTTTTATAATAAAGCTTTATTTATAGAAACAAGCGATAGGTTTTATTTTGCCTACGTGTCATAGTTTGTTAACTCTTGCACTGTATCTGCCAAGATATAAAGAATGGTGAATGTTTACAAAAACTACATGTTCCCCATCTAGACATGGAACTATCACTATGTGAATATACTCCAAGTCCCTGGATTTATTGTCTAATCCACAGCTGTAGTGCTCCTGGAGGCCACTTGACAATTTATTAATGCACTATAAACAGTTTTGCCAGCCAACCAAAGTCAGCATTTTATTCGTGGCAGATGACATTGCAGAGCTACCCCAAAGACACCACTGGTACATTGAATTGAATACGGGTAGGAATCGATTCGACAGCACTTAACAACAACAATCCATTGACATGTATAAGAAGTATTACTGAATAAATCAAACCCTCAAAAGGTCGATCACTAATGCAGGTATTTGTCCTACCCAGATACTTGAAGAAGTAGTCAAAGTTAGGTTTTCCCAGAGATGAATAGACTACATTTAATTTTCAGAACAGTACTTTTGGCTTTAATCTTGAACTCATAACTGTTTAAATTTTTGCCGTCTCAAAGTCTCTCAGGTTTTCCCATGAGTTTCTGTTACTTGTAGAAGTATCCTTTTGCCTCTTACACTGTTTTTCTTTGAATGATTTGTTTGTTGTAGTTGAGACTGTGTATAGCAAAACATAAACCAGTTCAACAGATTCTACACATGCAATTCAGTGATTGTGAATAAAATATCCTTTTACCCCATTCACTGATTTTCTTTTAATAATTTATTGGTTGTTTTCAAAAATAAATACAGCAAAGCATACACCAGTTCAATAGTTTTTATGTGTACAATTCAGCAATATTGATTACATTCCTCAAGTTTTGTAATCATTTTCACCCTAGTTTTCTGAGTTGTTCCGCCCCACTAACATAAACACCCACTGCCACCTAAGTTTCCTATCTCATCTTTCAAGTTGCTGTTTGATTGTAATTTGATCCCATATAGATAGATCTTAAAAGAGCATAATGTTCAAGACAGACATTCTTTACTAGATAAGCTATTATTTGGTTTTATGAAGACGTGTGAGGGATATTTTGGCTTACGGTTTAAAGATTATCTCAGGGCAAGTAGATCCAGGGCTTCATCTAGCCTCTATTGCTCTAGAAAATCTACAGTCCATGAGAACTTGAAAGTCTGTTTTGCATTTCCCCCTTTTGTCATTCATGATTTTTCAACAAATATTTGCATATGTATTTTTTGTTTGCTTGCTTCTAAGTCATGAATTCTAAGGCATTAAAAGTTAATGAGTTTGGGGTGGGAATTTTTTTTTTTTCCGCCCCCCAAACAGGAGTTTGACAATTATGCAGAATGGGACTTGAGAGACATCGATTTTGTTGAAGATGACTCGGACATTTTACATGGTAACATTTTATTTTAGCAAAACATTTTTCGTACAAATCCTTTGTTAGACACTGTTGGGTACTAGAGAATATAAAGATGAATAGAACACATCTTCTGCCCCCAAGGACTCAAAAACCTAGCAGTTAAGTGCTGAACTTTTGACCACATTGAGAAAGATGAATTGTGGTGATGATAAGAATGTTGTTATATAATGATAGTTGGGAATGGTTGCTGAGATTAAATCTACACCGAGGTAATTGGTTAAATGGTCCTTAACTGCCTCTTTAGAAAAAAGAGATTTCAGTGTGAGGACCTGGGAACTTTTGTGGAAGTTGCTGTTACTAAATGTTCAGTGTCACTTGGTTATTACCCCACATTGCCAATAATAGGGATCAGAATGGTACTTTTTGAAAGGTTTTTAGGTCTAGATTGGGAATTTTTTGTTTCCCAGAATTATTGAATTTATAACACTTCTGAATTCTTAATTTAGATGAGCCAAATAAGAATTTATGTCAACTCTGTTGTTATAATTTCAGTGGCAAATACCACAAGCTCTTAAAAGTGGGTGGTTAAACTTTCATTGAGTCTCTTTTCTCCCCTCTCTGTCCATTTTGAGTAAACTACATATTTAAAATGTTCCTCAGTCTTCTCTTTCATTTCAGTCTTGAATTGAACATGATATAATAGGTGAATAATACTCTCTTAGATCTTATATGCCCCAAACAACATCTTCATTGTTTCTCTTAAATCTACAAACTAGTCAGCAAAGGCAAGTACAAATCCAAGTTGAATTATAAATCAAGTTTTCATTTTGTATTAACTGGTACTTCTGTCACTAGAAGGGAGACTTGATTCTTCTCTCCATAGAAGTACTGACTTGATATTTGTTATACCAGATCTAGGACCAAGAAAGAGTCCTCATAAAAATCTTTATCTTCAGAATTTTTCTCTACATATTTCTTGAGCTTTATTTTGTTTTTTCATAATTCCATTCCTCCTCTTTTCTCCCACACAACTTTTATGGAAACTCAGAGTGACGCAGATTGATCTAAAAGAGGAAAGCTTAAAAGCAAAGTACTTTAGCATTCACTAGATTCATTATATTTCTTCAGTTTTCCATGCCAGTCTCAATTCAACCCTATTGACTCATGTTACTGTCTTTTCTCACCTTTTGTGTTGTTACACTGCAGGTAGTATCTAGATTACCATTTGGTACTTGCCATTTGGTACTTCTCATACACACCAACTCTAGTTAAGATTGTATTTGTTATCATTTATCATATTTTTTGCTGTACACCAGTCTTCCACATGCAAAAAGGGAAGCCTCATAAATATCCTTTTAGATATTGTTCAGAAACGCAAACTCTTGAAAGCCAAAATATTTGTCAGTAATGGCTCAACTATGTCAGGCAATTGCTGAATCACTTCTCTAGGCCCTAGTCCAAAGTCTTCATTCTTAACATCTTGACATTAATAAGACAACTGTAGTAATGATATTTAATTTCACTCTCCATGCTCTGTGATTTGCAATTTTTTCTGATGCATATGTGGTCCTTTCTATAATTAAGCGTGGACAGAAAGAAACCATCAATTAGCAGTCTTTTTCAGTTGGCATTTCAGATCTATAGCATACACTTTAGCTATGTGTGTTTTTTCTTCCTACAGTTTTGCAACCTTATAGATGGCCAATATTTTATTTGAACTAGAACTAAAGTGTTAGTTATTAATCCTTATGCACAAGTAGCTGTAACAGAAAGCAAATTATAATCCTTTTCTCCCGTCTTCCCCTACCCTATAGTGGACTGTAAGATTTTTTAATAGGTGCTTTTAAAAAGATAGTAACATTTCAAAGAGGTTTAACAACCCAGGAGACCAAAGAGATGACTTGATGGCACCACAAAGGAATACTGTGTTAGTGGTTCTGAGTCTTATCACTCCTCCCAAACAGTCTTTCCCAGAACACTCAGCGGAAAGTACTAGAAGTTGAATGTGGCTCAGAAAGAACTGAGAAAGAGATTTCTAAGCCCTCCTGTAAAAGAGAGAGGCAGAGACTTTGTGGAAAGCAGGACACTGATTTCTACCTCAGGGTTTGCTTGTGAGTCACTGTGTGATCGTGGGCACATTCTTGGAATCTTGCTCACTGTCCCTTTGTGTCCATTGCCAGTAAAGAGGAGGTGACACTAATTAGAGTGTGAATGCCTCTAATAATTCAGATTGGTGTTAGTACCATTCCATTACACCATTATACTCAGTATTACTGGGCATTAACAACATTCCTTTTATGTTCTCTCACTTATAATTGAAGGAAGTAAATTTATGGCTGGATTTTAGATTCAGTCCCAGAGCATCTGGAAGATCAGTTGTTGCCACCAAGCCCTTTCCTAACCCAAACAAAGATTTTTGCTTTAATATGTGGAATTTGTTTATTAAAATTGGTTTGAATCATCCATATGGAAGCCTGGGATACAATAAAGGGATAATTAATGGCATTCTAACCCATCTAGGGGAAGCACTGTGGATCTGTACAATAAGCAATGGATTGCAAGCCACAAAGTTGACGATTTGATCTCTGTGGGAGAAAGATGAAGCTTTCTGCTCCTGTAAAGATTTACAGCCTCGGAAGCTCTGTGCAGGGTTGCTATGAGTTTGAACCCATTTCGACACTTAACAATAACCCATCTAGAGGTTCTCAGAATGGGTCCAAAAAGGACTCTGAAAATGAAACGGTATTTGGGAAGAAAATAAGGACATTCAATAATCTAAGCAGCATCTGTTTATTTTGAAAAAACAGAAATTGATTCAGAGAGAGATGCAAAAGACTCATTAACTTCTCTTCTCCTAAAAGGATCCTTTGGTACTCTGCTGTCTCATGGTATGATCTAGGATCTGAGCACTGATGTTTTAAAGTCCCTCTTGCTGACATCTGAACCCTCATTTCCTTTTATTTGGGAAAATAACTCCTAAATGGTTCCCTGAGTTCCTCTTTCCTAAGGTTTCCAGAATCCTGAAATCTGACTAGGGCCATCTTCTAATCATTACTGTCCTGAAACCTGGGCATGTAAGAGGCATGGTGAACTCCTTCATATGTGTTGGGTTTGAGCTTTCAACACTTCTCAGGATTGCACTTCAGAGTAGTAGTTCACTCTCCCTCTATTTGGACAGCTAACAGTAAGGTTTCTTGGCATGGATTCCTCCTGCCCCCCACCCCCCCAACCTTTTTCTGCTTTGGCCCATACTGTCAGGTTTTGATTTTTTAACAGTTAGTAGAGCAGAGGTCCTGTATGTACTCACTTATGGGCAGTGTCCTTTTCTTTATAGTAATTTGGTTTTTTATGCACAGGTCATTTTAGAAAAATGTAAATAATAATAGATATAATGTATTATGTTAAGTGCTGTTAAGTTGGTTCCAATGGTTAGCAACCTTGTATAGGGTTTCTGAGGCTGTAAATCTTTGCAGAAACAGAAAGCCTCATTTTTATTCCATGAAATATAAATAATAATACTTAAGATGAGGCTTTCTGCTCCCCTGAAGATTTGCAGTCTTGGAAACCCTCCACAGGGTCTCTCTGAGTTGGAATGGACTAGGCAATCAACAATGGCGCTGGGTGGTGATACCATTGGAAACCTTTCATATAGCTCAAGTTATTTTCTCTTCCCACTGTGAGGTGGGTATCCCCATTTTACAGATGGGGAAATTAAAGTATGGAAATGTTAAGTAACTTGCCTGTGCAACAAACAATAGAGTCATCACCAGAGTCAGTACTCTTGATACTGTCTTTACAACTTTGATTTTTTTTTTGTTGCTCTGGTCTTGTTTATGAGGCTTCACGTGTTTTTATCATCTATAACCTCACCACATTCCTGAATAGTAGGAACAGTTACATGTTTTCCCAGTTTACATTTGGGAAATGCACAAAGAAGTGAAGTCACTTGCCTAAGACATCCTAGTTGGTGATTTTAACCATTAGGTCACATGGTTAAATTGTTTGTATCTTGGTAGCTTCGTGGGGAAATGACTTTAAAGCAGCTTTGCTTCTGGGAAATACCTGAGTCACAGGTTTATGCTTGTTTGGTTTCAGTAAGGATTTTGATTGGCCTCTCTGCAGTTAAGGCCTCTGAGTTGGTTTTATTGCCAAGCAAGCAGTAAGTGCCTTCTGTCAGGAAAACAGAAACATGTTGCCAGCTATTTTGAACAGTGTTAGAAATACATTGCAGTGGGAAGGAGCTGCCTCTGACTTGTACCCACTTCTTGAAATATTTTAAGGACAGTCTTTTGGAAATGTTATTATCAGTTCCCAGTGTAATTACAGGAGACTGTTTCCCGAAGCACAGACTTCTGAGACCCTGCATCAATAGATAGGTCATGGGTGGTTTGGATTGTTTGTTTTTAATGGTCTCTGGTTCTTTGTGTGCCAGTTTGTACTGAAGTCTCCAGTCTACGTTAAGTAGACTGTGAACTGATAATTCTTATTCTTGCAATATCTATTTGCCTTCTCATTTCTATTCTGCCTGCTGTGTTGTGGTCGCCCCTGGGTTATTCATGCAGTCAAGATCTTGTAATCAGTTGCTTCTATTTAAGTATGATTTATAAAGAAAAAAAGATGACTTCACATATGAATTATTCTCTGGGAAAATTCCAGTTCTCCTCCCAATTGCTTCTGTGTATTTCTTTTCTTCCCTTTGTTCTCTAGAGCCAGTTATACAAGTTTAATGAAATAATCAAACAAGAAAACCAATTATCAGCAGTATTTATTTATAGTTTTGTTTGTTTTTTTGTAGCTCAGTCTCTTAAATTTATTCTTTACTTTTTTTTTTTTTTAAATCCTTATAGAAATCTCAGGAAATAACATGGTAGGTGGTGGTGTTATTTAGTGCTGATGAGTTGTTTCTGACTCATAGCGACCCTGTATAGGGTTTCTGCGGAGCAGCTTGTGGGTTTGAACCTGCAACCTTCTGGTTTGCAGTCTAGTACTGATCCTACAACAGTGTCGTAGAAAAACTGTAGGATGTTTCCTCAAAA